GGGCTCCCCTGTGCGTCTGCGAAGAAGGCGTTCTTGGTCTTGAGGCAGTAAAACGACCGCTTGCTGTTGACGACTAAGCATTCAGATCTCCGAAGTAGAAAGAAATAGGCACTGCCCCACAGTAGACGATGTCGCGGTTGGCCGAGGTTGAGTGACCGATACAGCAGTTTGAGGAAGGCGGGAGTAACAGGCCCCACACCAGCGCCGGTAGCACGGCGCTCTGCAGTTCCCGTCTGTTGATGGAGTTGCTGGAGGCATGGGACTCGTCGGGACTGAATTTTAGCCTGATGAACTCACGACGACTGGGATCAAGAGCGCAGAGACCGTTGTCACAGGCGTCCGTGTACACGTGGATGTCAGGTTCGGCGATATTGGCAAATTGGGGCCACCGGTATACCATTGAAGCGGTCGTTTCGAGCAAGGACAGCACCGAACCACCGGAGGTCGTCTATATCGTCCCGGAGAGTGTTTTGCTAGCAAACGGAGCCATGGATATGGATCCAACGTGAAGTAGCTGGTAAAAGGCCCGTGCCGGAGGAAAACATATGGATACGTGCCGCATCACGCCGAGTACACTGTTGAAGTCTCGTCTTGTGGAACGGCCGTCCTCCAGCAGCTTGTGTACTCGACACTCCGTCTTCTGTAACTTGCACAAAGGAATGGATACGGTGCCTTCCGAAGTGTTCCACACCAGTTCCAGCGCTTTGTTGACTTGTGACCACTCCATAAATTTTTCGTTATTGATGGCGGACGGACCCAATATTGCAGCCATCGCCCGTCGGAGGGCGATGTTAGCATCATGACAACGACTGCCTAAGTCAATTTCAACACACGTATGGTCATTGCACCAAACGTTTCCGACGAAGCTGCTGGAGTCGACGGAGCTGTTCGTTGGGCCCCTGGGCTCGTACAAGTCGTTGATTACCGCCCCGAACAAGGAGTAGAACGCAGGTGAACCGCCCCAGCCAAAACCACATGACAGGTCGATAACCACGTAGCCATCGAAAATGAACGCGAACATGTGTACCGCGTCTTCGTGGATCAGCACGTGCCGAAACGCTGAGGAAATGTCCCCAACACAAGAAGCACCTCGGCGTTTGGGTGCTCTGTGCGTAGTTTGTGTATATGCCTGGCAATGTCGCCCGGAGGGTTGTA